CTTAGTGATTACAGACCATTTTACAAAGTATGCAGTGTCCATCCCAACCAAAGATCAGAAAGCCACCACCGTCGCGAAGAACCTGTGGGAACATTTTTTAGTCCACTACGGGTTTCCTGAGCGTCTTCATAGTGATCAGGGACGGGATTTCGAATCACGTACCATCAAGGAACTTTGTTCTTTACTTGGTATCCGTAAAGTCAGAACGAGCCCTTATCACCCTCGTGGCAACCCCGTTGAACGGTACAATCGTACATTACTCAGCATGTTGGGAACTTTACAAGCCACTGAGAAACATCACTGGCGCGATTTTGTAAAACCACTTACTCACTCGTACAATTGTACAAAAAATGACGTGACGGGATACTCTCCCTACGAGCTAATGTTCGGTAGGCAGCCTCGGTTGCCTATAGATATTGCCTTTGGGTTACCGCATTTGAACAAGCCCTCTATAACTCATTCTCAGTATGTTAAAGAACTGAAGAGTCATCTGGAACAGAGTTATGACATTGTCATAAAAAACTCTCAAAAAACAGCGAGGAAGAACAAAGAACGGTTCGACAGAAACATTCGTGAGTCCACACTAGGTGTGGGAGATCGTGTTTTAGTCCGAAATCTTCGCTTAAGAGAAAAGCATAAATTAGCAGACAAATGGGAGCAAACAGTGTATATAGTTCTCAAACAGATGGAAAACTTGCCAGTATACACTGTAAAACCAGAGAACGGAGAAGGACCCAACAGAACACTCCACAGAGATCTTTTACTGCCTTGTGGTTTTCTCTCTTCACTAGAAAATGAAACAGAACGCGTTACGAAACCTAGCAGACCTCATACAAGACAGAGTTCAGCCTTAGAACCTGACCCAGATGAGCCACTTGACGAAGAGGTAGATGAGTTTTATTACTCTGATCTTCCACAAGTGCTAAACCGACCATCCTATCAAATAGCGGTCACCTTGCCAAATAGGGAACTCATAGCAGATTCAGGACCGGTAAATAATATTCAACAACAAAACACACTATCCTTACACACAGGGGATCGCAAGGAACCAACCTTAGCTGGTAATGAAAATGCTGAATTGTCCTTACTTGACAAAGGCATCAACACCGAAACATTCTTACCTGACAGAATGAGTGAAACTGCGACATTCTTACCTGAAAGAGTGAAAGAAGCAGCAACATACTTACCTGAAAAAACGAAAAAAAACGAAGTATACTTACCTGACGTAGAAACGGGGGATGAAACTAACACAAACCTACCTCAATTGGATGGTGTCCTAAAGTCGCAGCAACGTGATGTAAGTTTTGAACCCATCATACACGATCAGACACATACATCTGAAAAGACCAAAGTCTTAGAGAATAGCTCATCAGCTCTGTCGGAAACAGAGAGCTCACTTCGTCCTGTCTCAGTTGAGAATCAAACCGAAACGGATGAGCATGATACTGTGCAACCAGAGATGTATGTCAGGAGATCTGAACGAAGTAGTCAGCCTCCTCAAAGACTAACTTACTCTCAATTGGGCAATCCACTAGTGACCGTAGTTAGGTCCCTTTTCCAAGGACTTAATAAAGCTTTTATTGACTCTCTTACTCAAGAAGTTGTGTACCCCGTAGAAACAATGCACAGGGACGTGCATGATATTTAATGGGGGAGGATGTAACCCAGAAGCTAGAACCTTAATGAGGTATTAACTAATTGGCTTACTAATATGATCCATCCTCAATTTAGATAAAATATAAAATATAAATTAAGGAAATTAACAATACTAATTAATAGATATCTAATTAACTAATAGATAATTTCATAATGAATTATTGGAAGGGTGAATAACTAAAATAACGAGTTTAATATTAAACATCGGTTAAAACAAGAATCTTGAACATCACTAACAGAAACAGAAGAGGAAAGCTGTATACTATTGGTCCAGGTGGGAATCTGAAATTTCATTGGCTGAGAGAAATAAGTCCCGCCTCCGCGAAATAAAACCGTGCGACGCAGCTGAGCGAGAGGAGAGACAAACGGCTGTGCAGCACGCAGATACAGAAAGCAAAGACTGAGCGGTTAGAGAGAGAGAGAGAGAAAAAAAAAAACAACGGTCGAGGCCGTGAAGAACCCTGATTTGGGTGCCGCATAGATAGAGGGAGAGGCGGACTTGACTCCTTCTAATAAGAGCTAGGAACTTGGAACCAACGCGATTTGTGTGGAGACGACAGAGTGAACCAATCCTCTGTAGGAGGGAACCGTTGGAGCGCGTTGGCTGGGTTTTTTTTTTTTCCTTGGGTTTGATCCCGACTCCTATGATCACTCACTTGGAACGAGAACTGGATTTCTTCCTGACGAGGGAGATGGCGAGCCTTAACCACTGAACGAACCAGGACATCTCAAGTAACTGAAGAGCAGACTGCTCTCTTCTGTGAACAATATCAACGGTGTGGTAGGAAAAAATCGCACCACCGGACTCTGACTTTCACCCCAAGCGTGGGGATTTGACTTGACGCCGGCTGACTTGTGACTCATATGATCAAATCTCATACCGAGCATTTTACTATTGTCGATTGTTTTCATCTGTTTTTGTGTGTTATCTTTATGTGTTATATTTCCCGTTATTATTAAAATTTAGTATATAAACCGTTTCATGCTATACCCGTGACTCCAGTCATTCTTAAACAACCTCCAATTCTCCCCGAACCTAATTATTGGCCCATTTGTTTATTTTTTCTTTTAATTATCTTATTGTATCCTGTAATCCGGTTACATATGCAATCGGGCTCTCCACTTAACAAGAGCTTCTGCATCCAAAGAGCTGACATCTAAACTTTAAAGAGCAAGTCGCCCCCTACCAGAGTCTCACTCCACTCCCACTTCCTGTTTGAAAAATGCAACAAATGCTGTTGCCTGGCAGACCAAGAGGGTGGAGTTGCTAACAAATACACACACGCGCACACACACACACACACACACACACACACACACACACACGCACGCACGCACGCACGCACGCACGCACGCACACACACACACACAGGCTCACGACGACAATGTGACATCATAATGTACCAGCTAAGGTCATAGTATACCTCTTAGCCAATAGCGATGGCGGATTTAAACTCAAATGCAGTGCAGAGTTTTTACCTGAAGATGGCACAACACTAACAGTTTTAGGCAGAACATTTACATTTGAACTAAGATGCACTAAAGTGCCAAATTATTCACTACGAGTGTCTACAGCATGATTAGGCACTCATTTATGGAGTTTATTAGCAAAAAAAAAGTTGATTTGGGGGTGACTTGAACTTTAAGCTCTCTGCCCGCCCTGCTATGTTTGTCTGAGCTCATTTGTAATTGCACCATCCAGCACGCACTGTAAACAAGGTAATGTTGGTCCATAACTGCAGGCTAACACCAAATCAGGTCAGTAAAGTGGCGCTAAAGCGGTGAGGCAACCAGGCATAAAGCTGAGTTATACAAGACGTCGGCTTCCTGCTGGTTTCTAGGAGTGTGTGTTAGCAAAAATCTGGCGATACGATATGATATATATATATATATATATATATATATATATATATCACAACACAGGGGACACAATAAGCTATGTGACGTTTGCCATTTTTAAAATTGAATTCACTTTAGAAAACTCAGGCCTGGCGTTTCACAATCAGTGAAACGCCAGGCCTATCTCAATGTTCCATCAGAATAGAGGCTGTAAAAATTCAAATTTGTAAATACTTCAATAATCCCAGGAAGAAATTAAATGCTGTAGAAACACATATTGTTTCAAGCAATAATAATACAGCAGGTCTGGAGAAGCCTCAGACTGAAGATGCTCTGTTGTTGCTGCACGGTGGTATCATGTTTTATCAGGTTTATGTTTATCGATCCCTGACTCTGATGCTGCTACCCTGACAGGCGATGAGCCAAGAGACTCTCCTCACCATAGTTATAGAAGTCATGCAGCATCTTGCTGCAAACCATGAAGGACCTGAGTGTTCTGGAAAAGTACTCTGCTGTCAAAACTGCTGCCACCTAGCAGTCAGAGTTTAAATTGCACCACACAAAAGAAATTCAGTTAATGTTTGCATGCACATTCCCAATAAAATATGAATACACTGCTTTTAAATGTTGAATCAGCATCATAACGCATCATAATATTTCCTACTTCCCTACTGGTTTCTGAACTTGAAGGCTGTCCTAAAGTTTAAAGCTCAGACCTCAGCTTTGATGTTGCAGACTTGGTCCTGCTGGCCCATGGGTTTGTGAGCTCTCTGTGCCCTGAGTTCTGCCTGCAAGGCTTTCATTCCCACTTGAGACCACTGCAAATGTATTATTAAATGAGTAATCTACCTTTAAAACCACATGCACGTTATTGTTGTTTAATATAGGGAACTTTGTGGTGTTTAATGTACCATGAGAAAAGCCTCTGTTGTCTCAAACCTGCTTTCCCATGTAAATTAGAAATGCTGTAATGGCCATGGAGAAACAGTTTGCTCTGAGAAAGTTGGTTTAACATCCAACCCACTGTGACATTGCCTGTACCAACGTTAGTCATGATAATGCCAACTGCAGCCTGAGCTACTGCTAATGCTAACCTGAGCTACCTCTGATGCCCTTGCTGGATAAGAAGAAAATAACAAAGAAGAATGTTGGAGCCAGAGTTCTCAATGGTTGACCCGAACCTGGTTACGCAAAAGGACGGGGACAACCAGTCGGTCCATTTTGGGCTTTTTATGGGATTGGCCAGCTCTGACTTCTTTTCCTAAAGTGACAGAGCTCTGAAACGGCTCATTCTGGAAGGCACTGAAACTGCCAAGAATAAACTAATGAAACTGCTTTATGTGAGAGAGGTTTTTGAGCAAAGAACTTCACAAACACATTTTATATAGGTCATGGAGCCAATATGTTTGTTAAAACGTCGTAACAGGCCTACTTTAAATGTAACCTTTGACCCTGGATGAAAACACTCACATGAGGACACAATAACTGCTGTCTCTGTCCTTCAGGCTGACTCTCACTCTTTCTTGTCCGATGGACCTGAAGAACTTCCCCATGGACAGCCAGATGTGTACTATGCAGCTGGAGAGTTGTGAGTTCATCTTCTAAAGCCATAAGAAGGACACAAACTTTGTCAGTGAACATGCTGCTCTTTGTGCACCTTTATCCACCTCTAGTTGGATACACGATGAATGACCTCATCTTTGAGTGGCTGGATGTTGGAGCAGTGCAGGTGGCTGATGACCTGATGCTCCCGCAGTTTGTGCTGAAAGAGGAGAAAGGTCTTGGCTACTGCACCAAATACTACAACACAGGTATGTGACACGGAGCCGGACGATGTCCTAAACTCTGGGTTTGTCAGCATCTGCTGACACTGTCCTCCTGTCTTCAGGCAAATTCACCTGCATCGAGGTCAAATTCTACCTGGAGCGCCAAATGGGTTACTACCTGATCCAGATGTACATACCTAGCCTGCTCACCGTCATCCTGTCCTGGGTGTCCTTCTGGATCAACATGGACGCCGCTCCGGCCAGAGTGGGGTTAGGGATCACCACTGTGCTCACAATGACGACGCAGAGCTCAGGCTCAAGGGCCTCACTGCCGAAGGTCGGACTATTTATTTAACATTCTACAGAACTACCCTTACAGAGTTTACCCTCCTAAACACATTATTTTTCTGCTTCTGTAGGTGTCCTACGTCAAAGCCATAGACATCTGGATGGCAGTGTGTCTTCTTTTCGTGTTTGCGGCGCTGCTAGAGTATGCAGCTGTTAACTTTGTTTCACGGCAGCACAAGGAGTTCTTCCGACTGAGGAAGAAGCTCAAAGAGCAGCAAAGGCTGAGGACTGTGAGTACAAGCCACCCACTCAGGCCCTCGGGCAGCTGTCACCTGCTATTGCCTGCACCCAGCTATGCAGGAGCAACAGTTCAGCTGCATGCTGCGCTCCGACTGGGAAAGGCAGCCAGCAGTGGCCTGTGGTTAATGCAAGTCACCTCACTTCACTGTTGGTAAACGTTCTTGTGTCGGATATTAGAGAACAAAGGGGAGCAGAAGTGGGCTGAGTCTACCATCTAGGAAAAATTATTTCCTAAATAAAGCATCTGTTTATTATTAAAAGTTGTGTGTTCTCTTCTCTATTAGCAGGGCAGCAGTGACAGTAAGGTGAAGGGAAATAACACGCCAGGGAACACTCCGTATCATGGGAGTGTGAGCCAGCGTTGCAGCGCCTGTGCCAGGGTGTGTGCCGTCTCGCCGTTCAACCAAACAGCAGGTGGTCAAACCCCAAACTGGGTCTCAGTAAGTCTGGTTGTGTTTTCCAGGAGGAGGAGCTGGCCCATCAGGGTTTTCTCTTCCAGAGCATTGGACTCGCTCTGTCAGCAGGAACTGCACCAGAGATGGATGCAACCCCGGTCTTTGCCGACTTACCTCCTGGTTTAGGTTTTTATGAAATCCGGCGACGCTTCGTGGAACGGGCAAAAAGGATCGACACCATCTCCAGAGCTCTTTTCCCCATGAGCTTCCTCATGTTTAATGTCCTCTACTGGCTCACCTACAAGGTTCTACGACACGAGGATGTCCAGCTCACACTGTGAAGACACCCCGAGGACGGCAGACACGACTTCTCTTCACTGAAACTGACAGACTGAACGTCCCTAGATAAGATGCATTTTGACTGCATGCAGGATACCACTGCAAAAATCTGGCTTTTATGCAACTCTGATGGTTTGTTTTCCATTTTATTTCTGCCAGACGTGCACTTTTTAAAATTTACAGTGAGTCAGAAACGATCAAATCCTTATATTCCAACTGAAACAAACAGTTATTCTCCTAAATGTCATGGTTCCAAACACATCACTGAGACATAACAGATATCACTGAGCTGCACTTACTGCTGTGTTGTTGTCACACTTTTATTTACAGGCTTGACATTTCTACTGCATAACTCTAGGAGTGAATATATCTATATTTTTAAGACATTAATATTTTATCTTACAGAAATTATCCAAGAAAAATTAAATAATAAAGTCTGAAATAACAGTGGATCATCAGAATGTCTTTTATTTTGAAAAGACAGTGAGCCCTGAAGTAGGTTGAAAAGCCAAAGGAAAGATGTTGATTGACTGCTGTCCTGATTCATCACAAGGAGGACGCTGCAGAGGCAGCTTGGACCCATATCACAGGTTCTGAGAGGTTCTGCTGAGGAACCAACGTCTCCTTAAGGCTATGGTGCCTGTCTGCTGCAACAGGTCCACTATCACGGTCCAAAAAGAATCAGTTGCACAACCATCTAGAGTAGGAGTCTGCAACATTTACAATCCAAAAAGCCGTTTTTCTCCTCAAACTTTGTTTAGAGCTAAAAAGGAGTTTAGAGCGTTAGTGGTGGTCAGAGGGGCCGACGGCGCCAAATGGCAGCCTCGCCTCTGTCAGACCTCCCCAGGGCGGCTGTGGCTACAAGTAGCTTACCATCACTAGCAGTGTGTGAATGTGAGAGTGTGTGAAAGCGTCTTTGGGGGTTTTGAAAAGCGCTATATAAGTTCAATGCATTATTATTATTATTATTATTATTAATATTATTATAACAGGAAGTGTGGGTGGAGTAAGACTGGTAGTAAGGTGACTGACTTCAAACTTGCATTTTTATTTTATCCACACATTATTTCTTTATCATTTCTTAGAGGCTGACTGCTTAGTAGTGCATTACATAATATGGTTAAAGCTGTAATACTTTGAATAATAGTTTATTAAAGCTTAATAATGCACTACGTAACTTAATAAATGGATCCTTATTGTAACGTTTTACCAAATTTACATTTCATTACAACCTAACTGCTGAAAATAAATAAAGGATAAAAAAAAAATCTAATTCCTTTTTTTGTGTGAAACTTAAAGTGCTAAACAAATTACTTCCCTAAAATTTGTTGATACATCTAAAACTAAGAAATGGATTAAAATAAATACGAATGCTTTAGTACTTTTAATGTTTTAATTTTCAGTCAGAATAAGCTGTTAGTCAGAAATATTAACATGCTTTTTAGGTGCTTTACACTAAATCCACACTTCCATGAATTCCTTTCTAATCTAAAATTTCACTAAAACTTTTTCTCTGAGTTAATAAAAATATCACAGCAGAAAATGCATCTTAAACCCCTCGATATCTGCCAGAACACCGTTTTTATTTTAAAGATACTGCATGTCTGTGCCCTGGAGAGAACCCTTTCACTAAAACCTGTCGTTTTAAAAATAAAACCTGCCTTTAAATGAAGCAGTCATATGAATATTTTATGTCAAAGTAGCAGTCACGTGCACATTTTAAAGGTGAAGTAGGGCTGCACATATCAGCAAAAAGTGTCAGGCTAAAACAGGCGTGGTCTATTTTACTATAGATACTTAACTTTCACAGTTTTCAGACATCAGTTGAGACATGTTGAAAAAAAAAAGAAATGGTAGAGCTAAATTATATACGTGTGGGTTTTATTCTGAGTCCAGAGACAATGGTGAAGTTAGGTGATTCATTTGTCCTTGTGTTTCCTTTCCTGCTCTAAAGCGAGATTAGAAAATTATATGTTTAGCCGCTAGAGGGAGTCACTGGCGCGACTATTTAATTATTACAACTACCACAAGACAACAAAAATATAATAATAATAATAATAATAATAATAATAATAATAATTATTATTATTATTATTATTATTATTATTATTATTATTATTTCATAATTACCGTTGAATAAATCAAAGCAATACATAAATAATATTGATATGCTGTCTATCAAATAATCAGTGTTTTTATTCCTTAAATGTGGCTCTGTGTGATTCCAGCCAGGTAAAGCATGTAAAAATAAAAATGTGCATGATTTTACAAACACGTCAATTTTTCTTATAATAAGCTGATCATACATGCATTAGGCAGCAGCAAGAAAATTTTGTATAACGCAAATAAATAAACTGCTTTTCCATTTTTGGAGGGGGCTGGTCTCTTGTGACCCTAATGTGTCAACTAGCTGGAGACGTGGCAGCGCCTCGGGTCATATGATTTAGGCTCTTCCACGAACCCCACCCCGTTATTTCACACTCCATATATATATATATATAATTTGAAATCACTCCCGTGTTATCCTAAACTTCTACGTGTGCGCACATTTTAAAGTCTTATGAAATACTCTTTAAGCACCTAGGAGTTGATTCTAAAGGTGGGTTTCAGAGGAGTGACCACCCAAAACAGGGCCATTTTTAGACATTTTACTGCTGACGTTTACAGAGGCTTCAAATAGCTTCCGTTTGACTCTGGTAGTGATTGGACTGAGAGCTAATAACACACAGGCGGAACGCGTCCGACATTCTTCACTTCAATGGAGGAACAGCCCAAAGATCGGGCACAAGACAGGCACTACCACCACCACGGGGAGGACAGGAACTCTACTCAACGCACAGCTTGTCTGAAAAATGATCAGAGCCACTTCCAGTGCCAGCATCAGGAAACGCAGACGAAGAAAACAGGTCGGGCCGCCCTGAAAAGTCGGCTAATGTCAATGAGCCGACTAGCATTCGCTAGCTAACGTAACTGGGAGCCAGCTAGCTCCTAGCTGCTGCCCCGAATAGTTTTGAGGACGGGCGGAGCAGCTGGTTAATCAGACAGATTGTCAGCCAGTGTCACACGAGAAACCACACATTATACTCGCTATCTGCTGACGTTGCGTGAGCGTTGTCGCTGCTGGTGGTTTGACAGATCGCAGATTGACCTTGTGCGCCGGTGCCGTGCCGAAAAAAAGAACCCTTTATTAATTTTTCTAATATAAATGTAGATACTTGTGTCCTCAGCGGTCCAGAAAAACACGAGGAGGTATGTCATTTGTAACTTTTACTCGGTGTATTGGTAAAAGCACATACCTTGGGATTAGCTTTCTGCGCTCAGAGTGCTAGTGATGGCAGGGGCGCTTTTTTTCGGCACAACACCGGTTTCACCGCCTAATTTTAAATGGCTTATGTAGCTGAATATGTTCTAAAACACCGCTTATGTCCCTCTGTATTCTAAACAAAACAACTCTTCTGTAACAGTGGCCTAAATTGTACTGATGTTATTCCAGTTAGCTCTGTGCAGTGTAGGAAACCGAGCCGGCTCCGCTGGAATGTTCTGTGCAGCCATTTCCGGTCGGCCATGTCAGAATATCACAGTTAGCTAACGCAACACTAACCGGCTAGTTAGGAAAATATGGACAACAACGACACGGTGGACGTTTTTTTACGCGTCATTGTCGACCGGTACTGTGGTGTTATCGTTGTCCGCTACTAGCTAGGCGATATTAGCAGACATTAGCCATTTGACAGGCCCTTTTGAATGTTGTCTGGAGAAGCCACGCAGCTGATCAGGCTCTGTCAGCATTAAGCGAACGTAAGCTGACAGTCGCTGTAAAATGTACATTTGCTAAATGAAACTAATTGTTTTGGCTGTGACAGGAATGTGAGGTGTGTTGTGCCAATAAATGTTACTGGGGTGGAGAAGCACTGTGGAGTAGGAAGTCCCACGTTGACACAGCACTTCCCACGAATCTGAGCCTTCAGAGGCCTAGTCATGATGCTTCACTGTAAATCTGTGCTTCCTGTATCCATCCACCTTTCCTATGCGGTGTGCCATTAATACATTGTGATAATTGTAGAATAATAAGTGTTTGGCTAATCTTAAAACATCACTTTCCAAGAAACTGCAAACCATAAACGTATAGTTGTTAGATTTTGTGGTGTCTGTAGAGTCCTATCATTTCCACATCGTCTTATTTTCTTTCCTTTTTTTTTTTAGGCAATAAAAAATTAAACGTTGGCGACGAGGAAGGAGAGAGGAATCTACGTCTGTCTGATCCTGTTGGTATGTCGCTTCCTTCCCACGGCAATGGTAACAAACATGCGCACAACGCCAGTCTAAAGCAAAAAGGGGCGCAGAAGCTCTACACGCCTGCTCCAAAAGCGAGCAGCAAATTTCTGGACCGTAAGAAGAATATGGACTTTAAAAATGACAAGGAAAAGACTCTGGATTTGACTCACGATGACCTCCAGAGCTTGGATAAGAAAGACTCTGTTTTGCTTCACAACGGTGTCGTAAATTGTGGCTTCATTACAAATGGCTATTCTAGCAGGGACAATGATGGCAGCGGATCCGAAGGCGGGTACACCACTCCGAAGAAACGCAAGACCAGGTGTAACAATGCCAAGAACACTGATAATGTGACAAAAGAAAAAGAGAGAGACATGCAGCCCCGCAACACTACACAGGAGCTGGGGGCTTTGAATCCTGAGGCGACTGAGAAAGGCAGATCTACCCAGTCTGCTGCCAAACGAGCTGTCGTTCCCGAGACTACAGTGGGGGAATCTCAAAGGAAAAACTCCGATGGCAAAACAGCTGGCACCTTTGGTAAGAAAACAGAGGAACGGCACAAAGGCAAACTCTCCTCTCCTTCAAAGGAGGACCCGTGGACTTTGTTCAAGCCCCCTCCCGTATTTCCTGTGGACAATAGCAGTGCTAAAATCGTTCCTAAGATCAGTTATGCAAGTAAAGTAAAAGAGAACCTCAATAAAGTAGCTCAAAGTGGAGAAGTGGTTCCTCCTCCCATGAGACTGTCTCAAGTCCCGATGTCTGCTATGAAAACTATCACCTCAGCTAGCTTTACTAATGGTCCTGTTTCTGGAAATGGAAACGGCTGCCCGTCTGCTGGCACCTTCTTCGTTCCTGCTGCTAGTTGTATTCAATCAGCCCTGTCTGTCCCAAGTGGCGAGAATGTAGCATCTTCTCTGGAAAGTAACTGTAGCTCAACAAGTCCTGTAGATGGAGACGCTAACGAGCTTAAAAAGTGTACTCTGTTAATCTACCCTTTAAATATGCAACCTGTGCTCCCTAGTGCTCGTCACCTCGACCCACCGGCTGCTAAGACAAATCAGAAAGCCCTGGGAGACATCTTCCAGAATCAGTGGGGGCTCTCTTTCATCAACGAGCCCAACCTGGGGCTGGAGGGAGGAAACGGGCATCCTCCTGCTGAGGACCAGACTTCTGGGACTTCTCCAAGTGAGAGTCAGACTGTTGAAGACAAGGTGGTCCTGCCGTGTTTTGATGTTAGCCCAATATTTGTAGAGCCTGGAACTTTGTTCAAAGACTCTGAGAGAAGGACTTGTGCCCCTTGCCAAGCGTCAAACGCTCGTTCTCCTGCTTTTGAGGAGGAGACAAAGTTCCCGCCATGTGGCCAGGACAAAACGAAGTTTGAGATCAAAGGTTCTTCTGTCTCGGCTCTTTGTAAAGACAATGGTGCTAAGCCTGTTCAGGGCCAGCAGACCACTGTGCTGTTTGGCTCTTCTAAAGAAGTGGTCCACCCGAACGACGCTAGCAGGAGGTGTAGCTGGGGGCCCTCTGACATTAAAGCTGCTGTCGCCTATCACACTAAAGGTAACGGTGTCCGCTTCTATCTGTAAAACATATTGGTGACAATATGGCGTCCTGTGAATGGGTAATAACTGGTGTGTGTGCCAACTAAACTAACCCCAGTTTGCTGTTATTTTCCAAGCTTTCCTCATGTGACAGCCGAGTGTGTTGGTTAGATTTCCTAGAAGTTGGTTTACAGCCCGAGTGACCTTTAAACTCCAACTTCAACTAGCAACGTTTTAAACTTAAGCATGACTTTATAACATGATGTTTTTTTTTTAAAATTGCATTTGAACATTTTGTCAACTTGCCAAGTTTTTAACTAGAGGAAACCAGAGAACACACCAGAGATGCTGAATTAACACATTTCCGTTTATCTCCCTCAAACAGAAATGGAATCCATTTTTAACGTGCAAAAACAAGGTAAATAAACCGTTTTAAGTTTGACTTTAAAACTTGCTTTGTGTTTGGGTGCCTAGCATCACTAGTCATTGGTTTTAGTGGTTTTTGTTCAGTGACGCAGTCATGAATCCCACGTGACTGTGGGAGGGATGTGATGTTGACAAACCTTTCTTCTTCTTTGCTGCAGATCCAAAAAGAGTAGTGGTTTATGATGAGACCAAGGATGGACCTGATCAGTGAGGTAGATCTACAGTTTTCTACCTGGGCCGACGAAAACAACAAAAAAAGTAAAAATCATGTTTGATGTGGCGACAACTGTGAAAACACTGACAGCTAAGCATGATTTCCTTTTTGAATCTCGGGCGTACTCAAACTTTAATTTTTTGGTGGGCATCAAACCAACGGACACTCTGGATGGACGCTAAAGACGAGTCGATCGGTGCCTCTCCACTCTGACAAATGGACAAATGCAACTTCCTAGCTGTGGTGGTCCTTGTCTCATGGCTTTTAATGGGACAGTTTTCTGGGTTTGACAAAGGAAGGTGTCCTTGACCGCACCTCCGTAAGCCTTTATCCCGTTGAACTGTGGCGGCCATTGTGGCCCAGCTGCGGGACGCCTCGGTCATGTTCGTTCTTCATGCATTCAGATGAGTTCACTGTAGATATGTTAGTCGTTCCACCTCCGTGTGCAAGCTTGAATTCATGGTGAAGGAAAGATCTGTAAAAAAAAAAAAAAAAAAACAGCCTTTATGTTGTGGAATAAAGGTGTCGGGAGTTCCGCTGAGACGGAAGCCTGTGAGGCTCCATGCAGGAAAAAGGAGAACTTTGTCTTAAAAATCCTTTACAGGAGAAACTACGCAGAGCCCAGAAGTTTTATATGTATTACTGCTCCTTTTTATGCTGTTTTCAACGGAACTAACCCGAATATAATTTGCTGTATGACCCGCCACCCCCACCCCACCCAGCTCAGATAGTGATGGGTTTAAAGTAAAGCTCCGCCCCTTTAACATCAGGTGTGCTTATGACACCACCAGGTCTCTGTTAAATTCAGAAGTTTTGAAACATTTCACACAGACGGTCGTCGGATATTCACAGGCTGTTGTCAAATTCCGGTTCTGGGTTTCGGAACGGCCCGGGACAAGAACCACTCACTTCTGAGCTGTTCTCCATTCTCTGCTTCTAATTCAGCTGCAACGCTCAGGATCTCTCAACACTTCATCTGGTCCGCATTCGTTTTCAGCTCTTGTTTATGGAAACCGTTTTTGTTTACAGGTGTAAATGAGTCACTGTTCATCACGACAGTAACACAACTATTGCAATATGAACCTCGGGTCCCCAGCTCGCCACTTTGTGTTGAAATGTGAAGACGGGTGGTGTCAAACCTTTTGCTGTGGATTAACCTGTTAGTGTGCAATAACATCATAAATGTGTTATGCGGAGCTACAAAACGTCCTGAGATGCTCGTGTAGCCTGCAGTTTAGTTTAGGTTATTATTTTTAGTGCATCCTCACTTTGTTGCACAGTTTCCTCGCTCCTTCCTCTTCTATTTGTCTCCAGGTCTCGTTAAATCTAGGGAATAACTTGGAGATCCCAAATTATCCCAACTGCCTCCCGGTTGGCGGCAACATTGTTTTAATCCTTAAGAGCGGATACGTATTTTTCAGCCTCTCCAAGAAACGGTCCTGAATTCTGTTCTGATCTGGCTAACGTGTGGATTACTGGCACTTTATGTAAACAGATGACCTTTATCTTAAATGCTATAGAAATCTATGAAAGAATGGCTCTGCGCTGTTACTTAAAACATAAAAACGTTGCTAAACACAGAATTACTAAACGAAACTCAGGTAGTGTCGATAAGCCATGGATATACTGATTATTGTGTTTTGCCAAACGGCCCCTGTCCTGTAACGGTCTCTTGTTGGAAACACGGAGTCGGAGACGCACGACGTTCGGAAAACGCACCAAAAAGAATCTTTGGATGAAAGTTTTTTTTTTTTGGCCTAAATAGTTTTCTTTTCTTTGAGAAAGCACAACATGTTTTCTGTATCTTTAACCGTGTTCTCGCCATCTTTGCTGGTTTCTTTTCGTGTGTGTGTGTGTGTGTGTGTGTGTGTGTGTGTGTGTGTGTGTGTGTGTGTGTGTGTGTGTGTGTGTGTGTGTGTGTGTGTTGGTTTTTCTTTCAGAGGGCTAACTTGGTTCTATCCCAGTTCGTACCCGCCTGTTCACAAAAGGTTGGAAGTGCAACAGCTTTTATTGAAGTTTTTATAAAGGCTGTCATGATGCTCTAGTTGTTAAAAAGCCTGTGTGTGTGTGTGTGTGTGTGTGTGTGTGTGTGTGTGTGTCACTAGAATCTGCTGTTCTGATGAAGGATGTTATTAAGTAGCATTCTCTCCTTTTTGCCACAGTTTAGTCTGATTATGTGAAAACAAAAACTTGATCCAGTTAAATAGAAGTAAGTCTGGTTGTTAACAGGGTTAAACTGTAGTCTTAATATTTACTTTATTAGCCACCCCCCATTTTTAAAGCACTTATTGTACACAGCAGCAATGAAGATCCATTTGTTCAGATTTCATATTACGGCTGCAAACCAAAGTGTGTGTGTGTGTGTGTCTGTGTCAAAATCAGTTTATTTCCACTCTCCCTCTCACCAGGATGTGCAATCACCTGAAGGATGCTGATGCTGGCTTCCAGGTTGGGAGCGATGGAGTGTGTGTGTGTGTTCGTTCTTCCTCTTATATGCAAGTTCCTCCCTTCTTTAGAAGCTCTCCCCTCCCTCCTTGTTTCATGTTCAGGTGCCTGTGTGAGGCGGAGGGGGAGAACAAACTAACTTTAACGATACTTGTGATTGTTCAAAAACCTGCTTCCAGCATATATCCGTGCCATTTGATATTCCTTTGCTTCAGTTTTCTAACAGCTGATCCCAATCTTCTTTTCTTGGAACAACGGTGAGAAGCCGCACGCGTTGGCGTATTTTTATAAAACTTTCTGGGTGTGTTTTTATTTTTATTTTTTCTGTTTTGTGGCTCGCATTCAGAATCGCGACCTGAAGCCAAAATCACGCTGAAATGGGGGGAGCGGACGGCTGTGTGTGTGCTGGTGTATACTCATACCAGACCTTATCAAAATAACGTCTCTTGTAGCAAATAATGATTTAATTTGGACTCATTTATCGCGTTAATGTTAACACATTTTAAAGGTGTTTTATTTTAATTTCTTGACTTATAGCCTAATTTATCCATAGCTGCACAGGTAGACTAAACCAATAAGTGATGCAGAAAGTCCAGATGTTTTATATTAGATGTTTTAGTTGATTGAGGCTGATGTTAAACCCCTCCCTGTGGGTTTTATTTGACCTTATTGGCACCGATCTTTAATATATTTGAACATTTCTTGCAGATTTTACACAGAATTGTTGTAATTCTTCACTTTAATTGTGACGAGCGTTAAAATCCACTGCATCTAGAGTTCCTAATATATTTTATTTGTGGTGTCGATCGTCTTCTGAGGGCAACTGAGGTTTTACCGCGCAGGTGCTTTCGCCAAAGGTACACTAATCAGACGTTCGGCTATGGAACGGCGTGATGTCATCGATGGTTACGCGACATGCTGCTGGGTGAGGGGGAGACTCTAATGTAGCAGCTGAATGTCTCGTTTAACTGTGTGAGCCACGAGAGCTCCTAAAACGATTTAATCTAAAAAGGTGAATACCGAAGTGCTGCTTCTTCATCCGGTTATCGGTCACCCGTAACGGGGAAATGCTGGACGCCGTGTTCACGTAAAAACTCTCCCTCTTTTACACTAAAGGGGTTTTTTGTGTTTTCAGGACTTAATCAGAAGACATGATGCAGGCAGGTTGTGGTGAATTACATTTTAATTTCCTCTCAAATGATGTTTGAGCTTCTTATGCTTTTTAATTTCTTTGCCCGTCTTGTATTACTTTTCCATCGGCTTTGGCTCGGAGCGACGAGGCCGTCGAACTTCTGTCTCAGATGTCTTACAAGTTGGCATTTCTGTTTTTCAGTGAGCCTGATTTATTTAAAAAGTTCTTTTGTCGAATTTAACAAATTGTCACATTACAATGTTTTTTTAAGCATGATGATAAAACCCCTCAAATTCTGAAAAATGTAATAGTCAATAAAAAAAAGCAACTCCCATGTTCACTGTTTTAGTTTTCATTAAACTGTCGAGCTTTCTGGAAGAAGGTGACGTTTTTGTGTTTTTTATTAGTAAAGGTGGAATTTTAGTGTTTTTCTTCTGCTTTCTGCTACAGATGGAGCAACTTAAAATTGGATCTGTTATTTTCTAAAGTTTCAATTTAACTCCAGAAAAAAGTTTTCACTGAAATTAAATGTTTATTTTAATGACATTGAAATGGACGACTTAAGTTGCAGTTGTCACAACTCCATGTATACATGGTCTTTAGATGCTTTTACATATAATCAGTTGGTTTTATTCCTCTCAAGGCGTTTGACAAAATAAACTGCTACTGAGCTCAATTCATTATGCCAGTTAGTCAAACGTTTCCTATATAAGAAATCCAGCAAAATGATTCGAGTCACTGACTTGTGTCGCTTTACAGCGATCTTCATAATAGGCAAGCATGTAGCGACAGTGGAGAGGAAAACTCCCTTTAACAGGAAAAACCTCCCAACAGAACCTGGCTCTGTACGAGCAGCCATTCGCCATGACTCACTGGGGGTTTAGAGAAGACTGAGCACACACACATGTCCACGACCAGTGTGATGTTTCTGTTGAGAGGAACCCGAGCTGGACTGGAGGTTTAAAAGGGACGGAGACGGTGAGACTGTTGTCCTCTGTGGTGCTGCTGGGTGGGGTGTTGGTCCAGGACCTCCCCATCAGTTAGAACCTTTACTCAGGTTATGAACTTTAGGTGGCAACCTATTAAATAAACTTAAAATGTTATCATGGCTCATATTCAGACTCAATCAGGAAATCACGTGTTGATGTTTTCATTTAAAATGGTTCAGATCAAAAAACAACAGATGGACTAACCCGGTCAGAAAAATGGAGGTAAAACTAAGTTGGTGCAAAAACTGTGAAAATGTTGCAGATCCTGAAAGAATTTCACAGCGCTGAAATCTAGACAGACTGTAGAAAAGGCTGAAGGATTGTTCTCTGCAGGTCAGTCTAGCCACGCTCCATTGCTGCTTCAGCAGTTCCACCATTGTACATTCACACAAGTCAATCTGGCTAAAAGAGCCATTTTCCACTCTTCTGCGCCTTAATACGAATCTCAATGATGTTGTACTTTAAGTTAAATAGAATAGATGTTATTTGTCCCACAGTGGGGAAATTCACTTGCTACAGCAGCACATGCACTTGAAGAAAAGCAAGAAGAAAGAATAAGATTACAGGCAGTAACCTTCAACCACCAAAAACAACAAAGAAATAGAAAACTTGTGTTTCCATATGGGACACAGACATAATGTACATCTGGTATTGAATACACACTGAATATTAATTACATCAGAAATCGCTTATGCCACATCACCACAGAATCTCCTCTCCCCTAGCGTAGCTGCTACCTACCACATAGCCAGGTTTGTGGTGGTTCTTTCCTCCTGGACTAAGGAGCTTATGGCTATTTTATCTCAGCTTTTCTCCCAGTCTGGCTCAATGACGTCACTTTGGTGATGATGCACAGTTAATAGTGGGCTGCATGGTGGCACAGTGGTTAGCTTTCTTGGCATCAGAGTGTGTCTTTGAAATTCACAGACGTCATATGTGAGATCCATGGCACAGGGTTAGAAAAACAGCATTCATGTTTTCACTTGTAAAGTAGACGGGCATAACTTGGGCTCCCTATAGGATGGTATCAGCTGCAAAATGATGAAAGAGGAGAAGATCATCTAAACTCTAGGAGTCATGGCAGAAACTCGAGCCTTTTTGCACATAAAATCTTTTTTGCAGGACCAGCTCTACCAGAGAAATCCTCTGGAGTCAGGATGAATTGCCTATATTTGTACATAAAGTAGTTACAGCAGTCTGTTTCTGACTCAGGCAGCTGCTGCAGAAACTAAATCAGAATCAGAAGGGTTTCATTGTCATGTGCGAAAAATTACAACATTAGGAAGTTGCTGTGCTACTTGAGGAAGTTGCTGTGCTACTTGGTGCAAAGAAGAAGATAAACATAAGAAGTAGGAAGTATGAATAAAATATAAGTGGCAATACTTAAGAGAAATGGCTACTACATAAAAGACAGTGTGGTGATGAGAGCAGACTGAAACAAACTGGAGAATAATAAAATACATTTAGAATAGTTTAAATTTGTTAAACACAAACTCAGTGTGTGGAATAAATAACAGCAAAGGCTTGTGTTTTATTCTGGGAACTTTGAACTGGTGCGTGGTGCATGTGCATGCATGTACGTGCACACCACTGTGTCAGAAAAACATTTGTAAATTATTTTTGTTGCAGTAGTCAGGATATTATAATTAACCTTACAATACCGAACTCGTTTAGTTAACATGAAAACTTTGAAAATGAAAGTTTCCAAAGAATTTTATTTTTTTTATTCAGGAAACATTTCTCCTAAATGTTCTGTCTCCTCAATGGTGATCTATGCCTAATCTATGTGTGAGTGAAGCAGGCACTTCCATTTTAAATAAAACTTCAACATCCACAAACTAAAGTGACATTTCATCTAATTTGATAGGAATAAACTCCAATAATTCAATTTTTACTTGATAATCTAGACCAAACAGGAGTTTTGTGAACAGAGCTCATCAGGAGCTGACTGCTTGTGTTTGGCGCCCCCTGGTGGATACAGCTAGTAATCTTTTCATGACAGAAAGCTGCAAAACTCGGTTCTCTTTTCTTGTTCATATCCAATAATCACACCCGTCAGATGTCATTTCAACAAGTTCCTTTTTCTTAAACCTTTTTATATCCCTCAGGGCCCTAAATTTGACCCATTTTAAACTTAGACGAAGCGGTTTTATGTAGGTTCATACAGAAAAACTCTGAAATTGTAATTTAAAATGATCAAGATCAATATCTAAAGATAACCTGCATAGTGAACTGATCTAAAGCTACATTCAGGTTGATTATGCTAACTGTTGCTAATGTAAATTAAAAATACAAACTTAATTTGGTTACAAAGAAAAGAAAAGATCAGATTATTCCAGATATTTCCTTTACTGTCTAAGTACATCACGTTTAATTAACATCAGTGATATCTTCTGCCCCAAATTTAAGTTTATCACTTTTTTTGGCTCTTTTTCTTATTTTGTTTTATTCCACCAATAATCCGTCCTATGGTTTAATTTGATTGTGAGCTCAAACTCACTCAGCAACAATGAATAGAAACTGATTTTATTAGGTAGAGTTTGATGTTGGTTTCTGAGGAGCAGCATCACAGGCTTTGTAGATCAACAGCTCCCTCTAGTGGAAGGAAATTGAACACACAACTCTTGAATGCGTTCTGATGATAATTTATTATGGGGACTTTCTGACATTTTTAAAGGACGCGTTTAGTTTTATTACACTAACTTGTAGCTGAACATGCTTCTAATCTGGGATGTTTGCTGGTGGCTCTGGAAGCTGTTGACTCTTCAGGGCGTCTTTCTGCTTTTTTACTCACCTCAAACACACACATTTTCCACTCTGCCTGAGCGGCTGAACCGGTGTTTACCGCCTCCCCCTGGGTCTCACCTTGATTGCTGTGTACTTAGGGCCACCTGGGGCTCGATGCTTGCGGCTCTCAGTGATTGTCCGGAGCACGAAGGTCAGGGAAGGGTTTGAGCTTTAAATCAAGATTTAGTCGGAGTGGCTTCCGAACAAAACGTGAGATTCCTTCTAATCCTGCTGCAGACGGGATGAGTATCAAGGGACTGATTGAGCAACAAACAGGAAACAAGCAGAAATCTGCAGATAAGATTTCACTCAAACTCTTCCAGAATCTGCAGAATGTGATTATTTCTTGTCTCTCTACATTTATATTCATATTTTGTCAAATTGTTCCTAAACCTGCAGCTGCTGGTTGTGCTTTTGTAAGTTCCAGCAGCAGAAGTTTGGCACAGGTCAGAGACGTTTGTCTGCTGAGTCTTCACACGTTCAGATGAGTTTCTACATGCTGCGTGTTCCTGATGGGAGGGAGAATTAACCTACCGATGAATATATCAGTTCCGAGCAGACGTTCAGTCATCTAAAACTTACAGCTACAAGTCTGTGGCTGACCTGGTGTCCGTCGTGGGCCCTGGAGCTCTGATGTTAAGCCCACACTGAGCTCAGCATCAGAGGGCATTCAGGTGGAAGTGTCGAAACGATCTGGGAGCGAACGGATGGAGTTTAATATGAAAACCAGGAGAGCAGGAAATAAAGTGCACGGCTCCCGTTGAGCCGGTGAAAAAATCTGTTGAGATCTTTGTGTTCTAGGAGAAGAAAGCAGGTGGAATATTAAAATTTAGCACAAACCTCAGAATAAATGTGACAAGATCCACTAAAATGTGAATGCTGCTGCTAGTGACTCATTAGGGTCGCCATGGTAACCACTCAACTGCACAGACTGGAACTTAAAGTAGCTGTCTGCATTTTTTCTTTAATCTCATGACACCATCTAGTGGCTGACAAGCATATCACATCATGACCTACCTTTCATTTCAGTATTGACGGCCGAAAGCAACGTCTCCCGTTCACAAACGCGCTCCTCTAGCTGACGAAACAGAGATGAAAGTACATTGTTTTGCAGTTTTTATGCTCATGTTATGTTGTTTGTATGCAAACGAGTTCTTGACCTATCAGCAGCAGAAGGGCCAGGTGGTCCCAAGTTTAACTATGTGTTTGCCTAAAGCACGCATGTCCTAAGTGTGGCTCAGGGGCCACCTGTGGCCCTCCCTCGGAGTGATTTTGTGTGTCCGCCAAACTCCATTTCTGGAATGATTTTATTTCTGCTGCAGGTTTTTGATGTAATGTGATACTTTGAAACATTTTTATACTCCAACCTTTAATAATATGTTCATTATTATCTGTCAGTGTGCCCCAGGGCAGCTGTGGCTACATCATAGCTCATCACCACCAGTGTGGGAATGTGTGTGTGAATGGATGAATGATGCACTGTAGTGTAAATCGCTTTGGAGTCCTTACTCTGAGAGGTGCTATACAAGTGCGGGTCATTTATCATTAGGAAAAAACGAGTCAGTCAGCTCATGGATGGGAGTCCACTTGGACAAAAACACCCAT